GGCTCAGCCATGACTTCTTCCTCCTTGACAGGCTCAGCCATGACTTCGTCCTCCTTGACAGGCTCAGCCATGACTTCCTCATGGACAGGCTCAGCACTGACGTTAATCTCCTCTTCAATCTCCATGCTGAAACTCTGAGAGCCAGCGACCTCCATGGACTCTGCCTTTGTCTCCACCTTCGCAGCTGAGACATCACCAGACAGCACAGTGGACTTTTCAGCATGTTGTCCAAGTTGATCCTGCCCACCAGTCTCAGAGTTGCCATCCAACTCTGAATCCGCTGGAGGTGCCATTTGTTTAGACTCATGTACATCAGCAGCACGAGATTCAGTTGGAGCTTGAGGATCATCCAGTCGTACATCAGGACCACAATCAGAAGGAGCTTCACCAACAGGAGCTTGTGAATACAGAGGCTCCACAGGTTGAGGATCAGGTTCTTGAGTGAGATCACCACCAGGTCGATCACCGATCGCAGGTACATCGACAGACTCAGAGGCAGGTGCTTTTATCAAGCCTTAGAAATAAATTGAGCAGCAAACAAAAAAACAAAGCACACATGCATGCACACGCAAACATACATGTGAGATCCTTGTGGTTGTCAAAAACACCCCAGAGACCCAAACATACAAGGCGTATATAATGAATACAAAACACTTGCGTCATCAAAGTAGTTGGCCAATGACTTGCGTAAACCTTTGCCCGACTGTTCATCTTCAGGAGGAACAGCTGCTTCCAATGAAGTCTGCAGAAGTTCAACGCATGGTGAAGCATGATACTCCTGAGTATCTTCCTGGTCTGTAGCAGCAGCAGCTTGCTTGACAGCCCGGGCAGCAAGAATTTTCCTAACTTGCCAGGAATTGACACAGGTGAAAACACAAGGCTCCTTACATAACAAAAAAAAACACAGCAACAATGTACATAAATCATAACCATAGTTGCTTCAAATTTCCAATCCTTCGTTCAATCTCCTGTTTGGTCATCGAGTTGGCTGCAAATCCCTTGCTGGAGCAATCAGCTGTTTCATTCTTTGGCTCGGCCTTGATGTAAACAGCTGGGTGCTGGTGCTCCACAAAGCCTTGAGAAGATGACTTCTCTTGAGACGACAACTCATCAGCAGAAGAGTAATTCATCTCCGTTGGCACATCACTTGGTGACTCCTTTTTGATGGGACTCTCAATCTCTTTGGGCTCCTCCTCCTGGACCTTGACAGGGGCCTCGACCTCTACAGCAGCAGTCTCACAGGGCTCTGTCTTGTGTTTGCCAGGTGGTGATGTGAAAATTGGAGAGTCCATCATGTAAGGATTGTGTTTAAGTTGAAGAACTTCCACCAGATCATCCTCAGCATCAGAGTCCATGATCTCCACGAATTCTGAAGGCTGCGTCTCATCCAATGTAGGCGGAGGGCCCCCCAGGCATCTGCAAGCGAACATGCCAGAACTCGAAGAGCATTTCATAGAAAGGATTCACTCCAATCTCCTAGTTTGAAGCACGGCCAAAAGCAAAAAGAAAGGATACACACAACACATCCACACGCACACAGGCACATATTGATTGTACATGAGACACATGAAACATAGAATGGACCCAGTTAGGAATATAAAGGCTGTTGCATATCCACCCCCAAAGCAAACATGTATTATACAAGGAACATGTTGTTTTGTTATGCAAGGCTGAGGCTCTCTTCTCACCGGGCTCCCACTGGACACTTTGTCACATCCTGACTTCCTGCACCCGTATGTGAACAGTTTCTTGAGTGCCCAGGCATCCATATGCACTTGCCCACCATCCTTTGGCAACGCAACCAAGCACCGAAGGTTGTAAACCTTTCAGGGCAGAAAGCAAATTGAAATATAGTCAGTCCCTTCAAGCTAGTATGTTCGCTCCCTTCAATTGATATTTGAGAGGTGCATGAATGATCATGCATAAGAAACAGAGTAAATATAGAGTCATAGTGCTTTGAGAACGGGCAGGCCTCCTTCTTGAGCATTCGCACAGACGGGGACTTAGGAGAGGTCTGCTGTGGGCACCAGTACTCAGCAAGTATACGAAGTGCATGGCAGTTCATGGCAATGCCAGTCATTGTGGGATGGCCAATGAGCTCTTTGGACGGCCAAATGCACAGGACTCCTGCATTGTCATTGTCCCGTAGCCGCTCCCTAATGTGCACACAATCTTCCCACATAGCAGCCAAAGTCTTTGGCTTTGCTGCTGCATTCTCCACCACTGCAACTGAACCGCACGACATGACAGCAAGAGGTTTGCAAGTTCAGTGCTGCAAAGCAAATAAGAATATGGTTTGCTTCTGAGATGCTTTTGCATGTGTGAGTCTAAAGGCATATCAAGAAAAAATTGCCAGAGCAGGATAGAGCTGCACTGAGCCAGGCAGTACAAAGGATTCACAAAAACAAGAACATCTTTAAAAACAAACAAACCAACAAACTGGCCAGCAGTGCTGAAACTGCAGGTCCATCTCGTTCAGAGGTCGATTTGTGCGGCCTGAACCTGCAGGAGCAGTGTCAAAAGGGAATTGAATGATCCCATAATGGAATATATACCATATACAAATGAATATACAAACTATAAGTGCATGCAATGCATGATCTTTTTTGGACTCCCAACCTCTGCACCGTAGAAGTCAGTCTCGCCCACCATTGCAGGGCAACAGAGGTCATGTACAACCCACAAAAACATATGCATGCTTATACTTTGACATTGGCAACCACAGCCAGTTGACATTGTTGCGAGATGCACAAATGGACTCTTAGAAAATGACATAAGATCAGTGGCTGGCTTTACACGCCAACTCTTGTCATGCCAATTCTTGCCAGCTTCACGGTCCTGATTGGTCCAGAAAAAGCTCTTGCAGACATCACCCTGCACCAAAAAAACGCCTGCAAAGAGCACCTTAAAAGTATAAAATGATCATTGCCAACACATCTAGGATCCTGTTGGCCACCTTCGTGCTCCATGATTCAATCTACAAATTGTTCTTCAAAACCATTCACCTCATGACCATTCCTTTGGAATACTGTGTCATTCTGTCAGAAAAACAAGTTCAGCCCCTTGCAAGAAATCCAGACCCTGGAAAGGCAGAGGCGGTTTTTGCCAAAAGTACTGAAATAATGCATACCTCAGAAGACCTAGGTATATATATATGTGCCCATGCATAATATATATTGATTTTATATTATTATTTAGTATTATGCCTACTGCCTACACTCATTGACCCTGTTTCAATCACCCCGATTGATCCAAAAACATGCTGTTCGTCCCATTGAGTGCTAGTGCTACACTGTCAAGCCTAAGTGGTCTTCCTCCCCACGCAACGTGTCGCGAGGAGTGCGAAGAGAAACTGCAGCTGTTGCAAGACATGGGCCATGCGCTTGGTACATCAAGGGGGTTCGAGTTCGATGCGCTCTCTCTCGAGAGGTCTCGACCTCTTTGCGGCGTTCCGTGTGGGTCGGAAAAGAGACCACGTTCCGGCACCCATGAAAAGACAGTTTAAAGTCATGGATCTTTGGAGGTTTTCCCGATTTCCCCTCAAGATACAAACTCCTAAATGTTACTCGGCTAAGTTTCTGGATGGAGAGGGGCGAAACGGGGGAAACTTGCCTGAACTGAACTTGGAAAATCGAGTACGGCAACCCAATGACCGCACACACGGAATGAACACCCGACAGACAACATGGTTCTAATCGAAACGGGGTCGTAAGCTTTCCAGAGCACAAGAGGAAGATAACCCTTCACTGCAAACTTCGTAGATTTGAAAGAACTTCATGCATGAGTATACTTGAATTATTGAACTTCGACCAGGCAGAGAAGTCCCTGTTTGCCCATCGCAGGGCGAATCAAGAAGGGTTCGAGAACGGAGTGGAATCCATGTGCCATGTGCCACCGTCCAACGACGCCCATCCGGGCGATCGAGTCGTTCGTCCATTTTTTAGGGATCCAGTCGTACCGAACCTCAGAAGGCACGACGGGATCCAGACTGGATCCCTTCGGTTCTTAAGACAAAGAGCAGAGAAAGACCTCGGCGATGTGGAACCATTCTTCGAAGATTTCGGATCTGAAGACCATGAGTAACCACGGACCTCCAGGCGGCTGCCGCTTCCTGAACAGGCGGAGAGGGGATGACTCTAACAGAGCAGGGAGGGAGGGCAGATGAGGGCAGTCTACGAAGGGATGTCCAAAATGGCAGTCTTGGGAGTCCGAAGTGGCTGGGGTTTGCTAAGTGATATGATGTTCCTGAGAAACGGCCAGCTAAGTGGCTAAGTGGAGGAACCTTTCGTATGGTTCGTTCGAGGTCACTGAAGGGTCCGTTCCTACCTGAGATTTCGGGCAGACTTCGGGCTCAAGAGCCACATAGGGCTCTTGCCACCTGGAAATCAAGGAATGGCAAGGAGGACATGTTGGATTCACACCACCACCTGTTAGGGCCAAACGTTCCTGTCGAGGAGACGTGTATTGGAGGTCGGGTGCTGGTATGAGATGTTCAGTAGGGTTGTTGTGAAAAGCTTCCTTGTGAGAAGGTTAGTATGAACATTATAAGTTTAATATGTAGGCTTACAACCCCATGAAGCAAACAATCCTACAGTCATAGAAGGCACCCGATGATACCATACGTGCATACATACAGTCATACCCAAACCAAATCTACCAACCCATCCCTACCAACCAAACGTCCGGTCATGGATCTTCCCTCAATCCGTCACTGGGGGTGCTGAATGAGATGCAGTGGCGTCAGGATTTGCGAGGATCACAGCTTTGACTTCGTGGGGAAGGGCCGCTGTCTGGCCGCCGCTCGGAGACAAAGGTCGACGAATCGTCTGATGGGGTCGCAGACGTCTGACGGGATGGGTTTCTGACTGCCGGTTTGGGTTGGGAAGCGTTGTTCATGTTACAGTTACGGTTCATGGAAGAAAGACACCAGCTCAGAAAGAGACAAACACTGTGTAAATGTGAGACTCAAGTTGATATTTTTTTTGGTGAATCCTTCCTTGCTGGTTCATTTGGGCCCGGCGTTGCACCGGGTGTTCAGGTTTCGGGTGTTTAGGTTTTCGACATCCGATCTGCCCATCCAAGGTATACGAAGCTAATTACGAAGGTTCAGTGACTTGCGAAGGTACAAGTTCATGGATTGCCCAACAAATGCTCCAGCAGTCACAAAGGGGGGGGTGCCCAGAACATCCACTCACTGGATGGGACTAAAAACCACCCCTTCTCGTGACTCCTGGCTGTTTTTTTTTCCATGCATGATGTTTAACGTTTTTTCGTTGCCGGTTGGATGCTTGTGTTTCATGACAGACGACTATATGCATGCGATTGGTGTCGGGGGCTTGTCGGGTAAATGGAAGAAGACGCTTCCAACCGTTGTAAACCAGGAGTTACCAGGGAGTGTTTGGGGCACTCAAACACATCCGAACTGCGAAGGCATGAGTTGTTTGATTGACTGGCCAAGCAATCGTGGGGTGGGCAGCTACATGTTCGATTCACCCTGCCTCTATTCAAGATGGATGTGGAAACTCCCCCGTTCTGTTGGTCTTCCGAGCTCATCGGGGCCATGCGACTTACAAGCAACATAATCATATTGTATCCAACACTCAAGAATCAAACAGAAAAGCACAACATAATAGCAATGGCCTCCAGCCTAATAGCAATGGCCTCCAACCTGTGAAACATGTTGGAGTCCCTCCTGTGCTTTGACCATGTTGATTCCCATTTAGAATCTACCACGCCCACGTGCGGCATCGCCCACGTGCCGCGGCACGCCGAGGAAGAGGCCGATGGGCGACTGGTGCCAGCACCCTATCGAAAAGGTCGGGGATGGGAGTTTGGCAGTTTTGCACGGCAGATGTGGAGGACACTGATGTGTTGGGAAGATAACTTCTTTCCGAGGATGTGGAGGGTCAAAAATTCCAAGCTTCTCAGAAATCATAGATGACAAATTACATTGACAGGTTGGGTTTTTAACTATCATCATGATCATTATGTTCTCTAGTTGGATGGCTAATGACATCGAATCTACTGACCTTCGTCCTAGAAGGTTTGCACTTTCACGAACTATCCAACCAATAAAATGTGCTGACATTTCCTATTTGACGGATTCATTGATGGATGTGTTTGATGGATTGACGTGTGTATGGATGTTTAGATTTTATGTGTTTGTATGTTATTTCACACTCAAAGTCTACCACCTGCTTTGCAATCGCCTCTAAGATCTCTAAGGGCAAAGTTATTTTGATATATATTTGGACGATCATGCGAATCGAGAAGTTCTGCCTGGTCTCCCACGGGCTGGAAAACATGCTTTGCCACAAAGCTGCTGCTTGTTGTTTGCCTCCTCAATTCAAGATCCGATGCAGGCAGTGTTGAAACCACGGACACCTGCTGTCGCTTAGTGATGGGCTCAGTGTAGAAATCCTGGGAGCCGCACACGTGACGCGCGCTGCGGGTTGAGGTGTTCAGTTTCTCGGATCAAGATCAGACACAAATTTGAGACATAGCGCCTAACTTGTTTGCAGGTTCTTGAATCTGGAATGAATAATGATTTTTGTTTCTCACGTGAAACAAAACACAATAAAAAGCAAGACATGATCTATTTGCAGCTTCCGATTTCAATATATTTCAATCATGATATGAAACATGAAGTATTGAACTAATGAACGCTGTCTCCGCGAGCCACTCTCTGAGGAGTGCAATTTGATGTCCATTTGCAAGGGGTGCTCTTGCCGGGATAGGTTCTGTTCATTCTGTTCGAGTTCGTTGGATTCACAGGTAAAGTGAAGAGAGAAAAAGAAGCAAGCTGTGTTAGCATGGAGCGCAATAATCAACAGCAATCAGATAGGAATTAGAACTGAAACAGACAGGAGAGTTTATGCATCGATTGGATTAAACTCAGAATGTTGCTGGTGTGGTTATTTTGATCTTTGCTGCCATAAATCCCAGTCTGGCACAATTTGTATCAATTTGCCAACGCCGCAGTTTGTGGCTCCATATATAATCCAGTTTGGAATTTGAGAACTTCATCTTGTCGCCCCTTGTATGTTTCTATCTACGTTCCCTTTGGACATGCGGACGTCGATTGGTCGATCCTTTATCTTCGCTGATGCATCGGTACCTTCGCTGGTGCAAGGCACCCGTGGTGGAGAGTGGCACTCCATAGAACCCATGGAACCGTCGGCCCTCCGTGGGCCGCGTGGAGGATCAAAGGATTGACTTTGAGTTCACAGGATCTGAGAGTGGTTGGAAGATATTAGCAATTTGAGGCCAAAAGAGGAACATAGTTCCTGCTCAAAAGTGGTAAAACAAATTAAAGCAACATATGTTCCAAAGGTTCGTCACTGCGGCGCTTCTGTGCGAGTATTGAGTGCAAGATCGCTTAGAAGTGAACTTGAAGTGAACTGGTGACATGCGCCAGGTATTCCTTCCATGTTGAGAAGGAGACCTTGAACTGGCACGGGGGACAAGAGATAGCAGGCCCCGGAAAGCACTGGCCTTCCAAGACCAGTAAATGAAAGGCCGACCGCATTTTGTAGTCTAGAATCCTTAGTACAACAAGTTTAAATCAGTACGTTGTCCGATGTTGTTCGGAAAACTTGAAATCAGTGGGCCCCAAGCTCGTGGGGCAGATGTTGATCTGTTTCTTACCTGAGTCATTGCCAATCCGCACTGGGCCGTACCTGGGCCGGCCGCGCTCGGTCCGTTGTGCCGCACTCGTCGTCCGTTGTATCCGGTTCAAACCTCGAGAGAGGCTCCCGAAGAGGCGAGTCACGACTTGGGACTGGAAGCAAACGTCGCTAGGCTGCTAGATCACGACCTGATGTAGCCCAGTAAACCAGTTATTGTTTATCATGTCGGCCAACCTCACCATCATCATCTGGTACTGGGATCTACCCAAGCTAGATCTCAAGTTTGGGTGACATTCAGCGTCCACCGATCCTTTTTTCTCTCGCTTATTATTCCACGTGACGACCAGGGGGTGTTGGGTCGTTTGGGTGATGGATCTCTCGTCGTTCGATCGCATTGCGTCAGGCACTTGCTACTTGATGACTCCAGATTTGTCTCGAGGTCGGGTGAGTTCCATCGTGCCATCGTGCCATGGAGAGCGGAATTGACATGCATGGACAAGAAGTGATTTCTTCGGTTGAACAGATGTTGAAATACAGGGGTCAATGTATAACCAGTCCCAAACAGGTCGTGGACACAGTCGTTGACATGACTGAGATCTGCTTTGAACCCCTTCGATCGTCCGATCGTGCGGTACCTCTTCGGGAGTTAGATGTAGTGCCTCATGTGCCTCTCAGATGCTCTCCAAGCAAATTTGGAACTGATTTAGATGGAAACCCAAAGAAGAACATATCAATGGGTGCTTCCAATTATATTCCAATATATTAAAATATATTGGCTCCAGCTTGAGATCCTTTACATGTAAGGAAGGGTTCTGGGACTGGAAAACGAAGCATTCAGAACGGTTTCTGGGACTGGGACTGTCCGGACTCCCGCTGGCCAAGTCGGTCGGAACCTGAGTCGACAGTGGTGACACAGGGGTCACAGGCGATCACCGCCGTTTCCACGGACACTGAAACTGAACGCGGTGGTTATCCAGCCTCGATCCGTTCGACCCCAAAAATTGTGCAGGCCTTGATCAACTGCAGGGCTTGATCGACTGGGGGGCCTTGGCCCTTGGAAAGATCTTTGTTGGAGATGTAGAGACTCCCCCAGGATTGCTTTATATAATTAAAACCAAAAAAAACACTCGTCATGCACATCTGCAGTGTTTCTCCGATGAGGTGCAGTGTCTCCTGGAACGACCGGGTCCCCAACGGAACCCGCGCGCTTCCGCGCCGGATGCGGTGGGTTTGTTTGATACGTTGCGCCGGATGGGCGAGTGTAGAAGAACAGGTGCCCTCCCGTGGTGGATCCCCCAAGAAACCGTTCGTTTGGTATTCTCGTATTCGTTCGGGAGTACACCGTTCGATCGATTTCGCTCCCTTTTTGAAGATTCTGATCCGAAGTGTGGTGTTTCTGTCCCTATAAAAGAACCACTGACGGCATTTCTGGGAATGACCCGAAGCAGCATAAGCAGCGAAGCACGACGAAACCGCTGAGCAGCGAGCTCTGAACGGAGCATCAGCGAGCTCAGCGAACGTGGCGCCACGCAAACGTTGCCATACAGCTGCGTTTGTGTTGAAGCTGTCAAACTCCAGTTGGATACTAGATGATATGTGAGATCATTGAGGCTTCTACTCATTTTCTTGGATCATAGCCTGTGGGCCTATGATGATCCCTATAGTTTGCGGCTCACCTTCCTTTGACTTCTCAGCTTCATCCAACGCGCTTACGCGTCTCGGGTGCATCGTGTGTCTTCAGGGAGATCATCAAAGACTTGGCCAACGAGAATGCCACCGAGGCGGAGATCGTCCAGGCTGTCCAGGAAGAGGCGCCCAGCTCGGGAGAATGGATGGAGATGTGTCCCTTGCAGGTCAGGAACTGACCTCCTTTTGCTGGAGTACCTGGACCCTCTAGTTCATAATCTAGAAAATGATTGGGACATGACCCTATAAGGTACTTGGAGGGTTTAGGTTGGTGAAAAAAGAACACTACTCAATCAAGGAGGTCTTCAAGACCAAGTTTACTGGGTCAGACTGGACGTATGCAGGGTTTGATTGTAGGTTCAGTGGAAAACATTGGAAGTTGATGCAGATCTCTGACACTTTCCTATAGGTGTTCTGTAATTTTCTTTTGGTGCGTACGATTCGCCGTACGATGGTGGTAAGGAGGATGAAGATCCTGATGAGGAAGGTCTGTAACGGAGTGATTCCTATCCCAGACCATCCATGTATGGAATATGTAGCTACATTTTACCCGTATGAACATGACATAACATGACCCCCAGTGTAGATAACAAAATAGGTATAGCTACATATAGTCCCATTCGGATGTTCTGGGTATGGAAGCTGGATGACTGCTGTGGGTTGAAGGCCGCAGCTGGGCCGATCGGCGAGCCGCGGAGGGGATTGCTGTCAGAGTTTCTTGGTCAAAGGAAGGATCCACTAACAAAACAATTTGAACATACACTTTGCAAGCTCTGTTCTTTGTATTTGGATGGAACATACTACACTCTGACCCAGAATTCGTTCAACACTCTGACCCCCGAAAAAAGAAAACAGACGCGCGGGCACGGGAGACAGCGATCCTGGAATCCAGGCTCCTCGACGTTTGTGGTCGAAAGACAGCGTGCGCCGGGACGAGCAGTTCCACAAGCAGCTGAAGGAGTGTTGGAGTGACGACGTCCACAAGACAGCGTGCGCCCGTCGAAAGCAGTGCCGGCCCCTCTGAAGGGAAAGCCACTGCCACACAGGATCCGTTTGCGACTGTCATATGTACATACATATACTGGGGTGGTTCAATAGGGGTATTTGAAGTCGGGGGTCAATGAGGGGTTCCGGTGAGTCAGTGCACTGGGTGAACCACATTCTGGGGATGCAATGAGCAGTTTGGATTAGCCTAAATAGCTGGAATAGGTGGGCAGAAGTGTGGCTAGATTGGCTAGCGAGCGTAGGTCTTACATTTTCTACTGAGCACCTTTATTTCTTGGTCCAATGAACTCAATTCTGCGTACCTTTGGTTCCTGTGATTGTTCTCCGACTTTGATTTTTGTGCCAACATTGAACCGCCATCATTTGCCTTTTGGATCCTTTTGGTATCTTTTGGTAGAGTCTGGAGTCTGGCATTTATCCTACCATTCAAAAGCACACCCAGCAATAAAGGAATGCTATTGCAGGATACTGCAGGGATGATGCTCCGACGGCGACTGGAGGTATGGAGACTCATGTCTCGATGGTTGATCCTTGCAATATCTGCACGTTTCGAGTGCACATCGTACACCATACAATCACCAGTCCCTTTTCTTCTCAACATACAGTACTGATTTTTTCTTTGTTCATCCATGTTCTGATGTCATTCTCATCTTTTCCTCTTTTTTGCCTTTTCAAACAGAGAATCCGATTCTATGCCAATCACCCTCTTGTCGCCCGAGCGGCTCGCGCTGCTCCGCACAACTCAACGATCCCTCGACTCCGGTCGACGGACGAGGAAACGCTCGCTGACCGACAGATTCCGTCGCCTGAAAGCTCGCCCGGCGCGCTCCTGGCATTGCTACTAGGAACAAGAAGCTATGCGTACTATAACTATAACTATCTATAACTAGTAATTGCAGTGGTTTCAGAGTAGATGGCACAGACCCCATGATGTCCTTTAGATGGGGGTCCATATAAACCACCTCTTGGGGTCTGTGCAAACTACTCTCAATCCACTATATAGAGGCCTCTCAAAGCATCGGAGAATTGAGTGTAGGTTTTTGTTGCAACCTCGTCCTCTAGGGGATCGAACCTTGATCAATGATCAATGCGTGTTTGGTGTGTTTGGTTGGGCCATAGCACGCCGTAGCACTTGGAGATCCGGTCACATCTCCGAGTCGTTCGAGTTGACAAACAGCTCCTTTCGTGCCTATCCCATACCCAGACACAACCTGTTTGGGACTGCCAGTCCGAGAAAAGGCCGTTGGGGTGGACTGGGGGGTCAATTGCCAGTCCAGACCGTCCAGACCGATCGTTCGGGAAACCACCGGTCCTGGAAGCGGCGGGACCGGTCCGTCGGTGGTCTCTCTACTACCTTCTTTGCGGGAGACCGGTCCAGGAGATGTACAGGAGATGCAGCTCGCAGCGTCTCGGCGTCACCCCGGCGGTCTCGTGACTGGCGGTCGTTACGGATCACCGATGTCTCGGGATGAGGATGGTTCAGGGAAACCCCATACCCCTATAGACACTACTAGATACCCCCCTAGACACTACTATATAGATACCCTAGGGCTCCAACCATATCCTCAGAAGGTGGTTAGACCCCTCAATATATTCCTGGAAGAGTGCTCCATGGCAATACTCAGACTCTGCACATGGCTGACATTTGATGGGACTGGAGATCAGTTACATACTACATTTATAACCCATGAAAATGACCCATCCACGTACAAATGTGTATATATATATATATATGTATATAGTATACATGCAGTGTATATAATTTATGTATATACATACCTAGAACCTGAGTGACCTCGATTTGGGATGACCAACCACCCCAAATTGATGATCTCTCTCTATTTACAACAAATATGTCTGGATTATCCTTTGAGTGATGTCAAGTAGTCCTATTCGATGCTGCTCTTCGGCCTCCAGAGGCCGTTGCGCGGCCCAGCGGGGTGGTTGAAAACCCTACCCAGTGGCATACTATGGTAACTGGATCCACTGGGCTAGGCTTCCAAGACCGTTTAAAAAATAGACAAAGGCAAAATGCGGTTGACCTGGTGTTGTAGTCTAAGGTTCTTCGGCAATGGTGCTTCGCTATAAGGCTATTACTGTAAATCAATGGTGCTTGGAAGCCGAGGGGAATAAAACATGCCATCAAACTCCTCAAACGTTTGGTCTCGCGCTTTGCGAATTGGGATGCGGAGATGATCTCATCCTGTTTCATCAAAATCCACTCCTCCGGGTTCGCTGGCAATGGTTCTGCAATTTGTTATAGCAGAATTCACAGAGGAACAACAGGATTTGCACGGACAGGGTGGGTTTCACATGCCACGAGTTCCATGGAGTTGGGTGGTTTAGCTTGTCCCATCCAGTGAAAGCATGAAGATCATGGTCACTTGCCATTCCTCCAAGCTCGGCACGGTATACCCCTGCAAAAAAATCCCATGGAACCTGAGAATTCACCCGTGACGAAGACTTTTGTCCTCTACAACCCCAGTGGTTTTGGGGTTCTATGTGGACCTCTGCAGGGAAGTCACTCCATGAAATCCTGGTCAGTGAAACTCCTCCGTCGTCATCGCAAAAGAGTTTGCCGCAAGACCTCATCGACCTCAGGACCTTCGACGTCGGTTCCATCACGCCACCGGGCTAGAGAACTTCGGAGATTTCTTCGACGCTGCGGGTGGCTGTTTTCGGTGCGGTTGGTTCGATCTTTTCTTCCCATTGGATAAGGGTGAATCCCCGGATGGGAACTCTTGCGGGTTTCGGGGGGGTTGAGGCACGATTTGGTGTCCCGGGTTCCGGCTTGAAGCACATCCACGTCTTCCGGTGATGGGTTGGTGGGTGTGATCGACGGTGAAGACTATGAGGTGTATATCGATCGACCATCTTCACTCCCTGGCTATCGAATTGTAGGGCAAATCTTCTCCAGGGCACTCAAGTTCTGGCATAGTACCCAGCTTTGACACTATAGACTGAAACTTGGCAGAGAGAAGGATTGATTCATGTGATGCAACAAAACACTTTGGGTGAAACAATCATGCTCCCTACTGCTATTGCATCCAATCAACACAAGTCCAAAGACCCAGCCAGTTTTTTGCCTCCTTGAGTAGTGTTTTTGTATGACCAACTCCAGTAAAATGATGAGGTCATTGAACTGTTGGGGGTGTATTGGCCCCTTGAGGAAATCAGGGTCACTAGCACGATTTGCAGGTCATAAGTTCCTGCATCCGCCCGTACCTCCTCAAGCACTGGAACAACGCTCTTGCAGTGCTTTTCGTGCTCTCATTCGGTGGGTGGTAAAGTGGTAAAGTGAGTACAGTACAGCCATGAACATGGCATTACCAGCCATGATCCTTTTGGATGCTTCCAAATCTGAGTGGCAACGCATGGCAAAGCTATTACTTTTTTCAGAGAGTCATTGAGGAGGGTAGCCATCAGTATCCACTCTTGATGCTGGGACAAACCCAAGAAGTAGCCACCTGGAGCAGAAATTTCAGAAATGGTGTAAATGTAACATCTATTCCAGTCCGCTTCTTTTGGGTCTGGGTTGGACAAAGTAAGGAACTCGCACTCACCATTCCAACGATCGAGAGTCTGCTCGGTTTCGCGTGTGGTTTTTTTCACGCATGTGAGGCAGTGGGACCCGTCAGGCTCTCAGGGAGCGGTCGGTAGAGGTGTGGTGAAGGATACCTGATGATACCTGTATATTCCTGTAACATCCTGTAACTGTATATCTGGGTAATTGTGCTTGATTCACTAGTCATTCCCCAGCAAGTCACTTAAGAAAATTGCAAGTAATTATGTCCGAAGACAGTGTTAGTAGGTCAATGTCTCAGATTCGATGGATAGTGTGTGTTCAGATCGAAGGGGTGTTCCAATTTCTTTAGATCAGCCTCAGATCAGTGTCGGTCTCTCAAATCTTAAGAACGCCTCCACAAAACCATACCCAACTCCGAAGCTCGGCATCGCTCAGCCGATTGCAGCCCATTTTACATCGAATTCATGCGGGAGAACGTACTAAAGCGGAGTTTCAACTTCTCCGTGAGAAGACGCTGGGCCGCATACCATGTTGCCACAGCTGTGTTTTGATATGACCCCTTGCTTATTTCATCCTGCCTATTTGGACGACCTTCTAAACATTCCGATCAAACATGGATTCTTCTGAACAGTGTTTGTTTCGGCATGCGTCTAATCACCAGTGTATCGACATCAATCTCAGAGGAACTATGTTTTTGTTTTAAGTGAAACAACCATGGCAAGTTGTTCATGAGGAACTGCAGATTCACCTGTTTAGGTTGTAGCTCACACAACACACACAATTAGGTGCATTGACACAGCACATACATAAACGACCACAAGTCTCTAACCACATTTCCCAGATTTATTGGCTTTGGATGGGGCCGTTCTTTTTTCCAGGACTTCCGTCTAAGTCTCATCAACATGTGGGTGAGGCGGATTTCACTGGTCTCCAGGAGTGGGTGGAGTTGATTTCACAGCCAAGGAAGACATCGCCCATGCTGGGCAACTTGGCTGAAGCAGGTCCAGTGAGTTGTTTTGCGGAAACGGGTCCTATCAATATGCATAAATAGAATCTGGAGGGTTAGGCAGAGGCATGTATATATATATATATATATTTAATATATATATATATTTATATTAAATATATATATATATTATAGAGCTATAGTCTATAGTAATTAGTACCAAACACCTGATGGTCCTGCCCTATGCTTAATGGAAGAAGAACATCCAGCATTTCACCGCAGTGGTCGAGTCTCATCAGAATTCATGGCAGGGTGGAAAAAGGTAATTAGTTACGTACCCACTTGGAACACCCAACAACTAGATTGGCTGGAGATACCCCAAACGGCCATTTGTCTATAACAAATTCTGGTTGTTTGGGGTCCCTCGAAGAGAGGATAAGTTGAGCCCCACCAAGCATCCGGGGGTTTGCAAGTGAAATCTGGTGAAATCGAGGGATTCACAACGAGTTCCTTGTCGACACCAGCAAATCTTGGTGACAGTGCGAAACGCAGTGACAAACAAATGATTTTGAGTAAAAACAGCCAGTCATGTCAACCTGTTTGCACCAGTTCTTAAATTGTAGGCCTTCCTTCTCAGTGTTCAGTTGTGGGAATTTGTGCAAGGAGTCCAGACGCACAAAGACATTTGATGTTTACATTGACATGAACCATCCTCGGACCCTTTGCATGCTACAAGGAGATGGTCCACGCGCGTATGAAGGGCTTTGTCGTTTGAGTTCAACCTCAAAATCGGAGGTTCCTGATACTCACCAGATTGACTGCGAAGAGGATTTCCCAGAGGAAGACATGTAGGTTTGGTGGCCAATCACAAAGCACCAGCAATAGATTATGGCCAGATGAAGATGGCCAGGTGCTGCTGGTCTCAGACCGTAGACCTTCGCTCGCACACCTGCTGCGCACACCTGCAGGCGAAGATGGCCATGTGCCGCTGGCCACCAGCTGCAAATCCAAGCAGCTTGCCCAGGCGTGGCCGACCGGAGGAGAGAACTCCCTTTCCTGGGTAAATTGTTTTCAGTGAAACAAGCAATCAAGCCAACAGTTCATAGGCACTTTAGTGTATTCCTAAGCAAAACAAACTGTTGGCAAATTAAGCAAGGGACTCTAGTTCTTGCAAGGAAGTGAAACAGTCTTCATAGGGACTCTAGTTTGGTCCTCCAATCAACTGCTTTGGGCCCCATCGACATCTAATTAAATTAATGGTGCACACAGCAACAGTTGAACCTGTCGCATGTGGCAAGAGCAAGTGTTCAACCGGTAGCCAGGTTAGTTTGTGAGAAATTCACTAAGAAATTCCCTAAGAGGTTCAACATCCGTTCATGTTGGGCCAGGTGTAGCTCAAATTATCTCAACTGATGCGAACGATTAAAGGTGTAGACTCCCCTTGCATTGTAACAGCACCTGACTCTGTTTGGCCAGAAGAGATCGAGAGGTACCAAAACATCACATACCCAAACCAGAGAACGAAAAGACCATGGCCCCCTGCACCAGGCTTACCATGCTTGCCAGGAGTGTGCCGTCGGGGCAGTCGAGATTCAAGTCTTGATGTTGGGGTGTTCAACTGCCCAATGTTAATGAACAAGGTGTTCGTATTAATGTATAGTACTTTGATTTCGATAGAGTTTTTCATCCACAGATAGAGGCAACATTAATCCATCCACCCTCACAACGGTCTTTACAAGCAGTTTTGCTCATGTTCTTCACTTACTCGGAAGAAGACATGTGTGTCGCATTGGCATGGAGAAGCTTTTGGCAAGTTGGAACTGTCTTCCTGCAGGGACTCCAGTGTTTGATCCATCTCAACTTTTGTCGGAAAAGTGTTCGGTGGCTGTGACTGTTCGACTCACATGTTTGTTCACCTGTGGTTTCAGAGGTGGGATGGCACAGACCCCCAGATGTACTGAACAGATGGGGATTGTGCCATCTATATACTCTGAAACCAGGGTATAGACCCGAACCCTCCAGTTGAAGTGATGAGTATATTCATTGGTTGATTGATTTCACCTTGCCCGACTGTCTCAGGAATAAAGCGGCACTCAGACTCACGCAAGTGGCAGATGGTCTTTTGTCTATCACAGGGCGGCCCAGCAGCTGCCTTTTGCTTTGAAGATTCTTAATGGTGTTCTAGGACCTTTGAATCTGCTTTAAACAAAAACACATCTAGCTAGTAGGTTTTGATGTTACTCCATTTTTACAGGCTGTGCTGAAAAATATAACGTACATCTTTTACCCCCTGGACCTGTGGGGTTGGTTCTGAAAGAATCTTCCAGGAGAGTGGTGCACTCCCGCATTCTTCAGAGAAGGTGGTACAGCATCGTTGGGCGGAAGTGACTCTCTTCCAGTGACTTGACCTGTTAAAGTGGCTTTGGCCATTCCATGCCATTCCATGTTCACTACTTACTCCACTGTCTTCAGAACTCCGAGGATTCTTTCTGGTCCCGAGTTGCACGATATCAAATGTTAAACTCCTCCAACCAAGGAGCCAGCCAATCAACCAACCTCCAGTGAATGAAGGGCGGTTCACTTTCGCGCCGAGGAGGGCCAGGGATAGGCGTTTCACATCTCACTGTCAATTTAGAGTGTCTTTCAGAATAGGAAGACCGAAGACCTCAAAACAGGAAGACCGTGTCCCATCTTCAAAAGCTCACCTCGCTCGGTGGAAGACACCTGGCTTCGTCTCGTTTGCCGCTCCAAACACACCGAGTTCCCGAGCCAACGCTTCGGGAGGTGAACTGGTCGGAGCTCGCGTGCGAACGCTTCGCTTTCGTGGATGGTTCGATTCGCTCGCGCCCCCCCGTTTCTTGGTTCGGAACTCGCTTTTGGCTTCGCAAACCAAGGGGTTCCGTCCGCAGACTTGTTCTCCATCCGTCGCCCACCTCTTGCTTCGTCCAGGTTTGTGTACTCCATGATCAACACTGGCATGGGCCTTTGCGTCTTGCCTCAAGAGGCAGATCGCCTCAACAACGCTGCGGGGAGCCTCTGGGCGTCTTGGCCAGAGATCGAGACGGGACGTCACTCTTCCGTCACCCCGTTTGGCGCACCGGTTTTTTGGGGTGGGGGTTCACCAGTGAACGCAGATGCAAGGCCTTCTTGACAGATCTCTGAATGATGGTTTTAGACTGTGTGGTCGAGACAATTGAAGAGTCCGTTGAAACCAATCATTTTGAAGCTTGAAGTGGTGGGGATGTGAGTAACATTGAGTAACTATGTGACCCCCCTCTAACCATTTTGCCAAGTCTCTCCCCACTTCGAATCTTCCCACTTAATAAATTGTTGGAGAAATGAGGCACGCCAAAGACGAACTGGCGGAATCCGTAGGACAGGAATGTCAGTCTGAAGGACTCCAAGGTTTGCAGAAAAATATTCTGAATACCTTATATATGAGAGACATGATGAAGGAGGAAGAGGCAGCTAACTATAGTCACGAAGTCCTGAAGGTGAAGGAGTTGTTCCTGTCGTATGGAATCGCATCTGGGTATTTGATTTTAAGGCTTACGCCTGACAGCCGGGCGCCGGCCCAACACAGGGCAAAAGTAGGACGGTAGAGGGGATAGAGGCAAAAGACACGTCGTTTCTCTCTGTCTTTCTTTCTTTCTTGCTTTCTTTCTTTCTGTGTCTTTGTCTGTGTCTGTCTCTGTCTGTCTCTGTCTCTGTCTCTGTCTGTCTCTGTCTCTGTCTCTCTCTGTCTGTCTCTGTCTCTGTCCCTGTCCCTGTCGCCGTCGCGGTCCGCGGTCGCTGTCGCTGTCTCTCTCTCTCTCTCTTTCTCTTTCTGACTGTGTGGGGCCTATGTTGCCACATCTTGAGGCTATCTTGGCCCATCTAGGGGCTATGTATCTGGGACCTACGTTGGGTCCTCTGGCGGGCCTTTGGCAGGTCATCTTGGGGCACATTTTCCGCTTTGATGTTGGATCGTGCCCGACACCCACGAAATGTTGATTAATCCCTGGTAAAACACAGTGTTTTGTGTACCTCAGCCGTTGCTGTTGGAGCGTGCCCGACACCCACGAAATGTCCATTAATCCTGTCCGCGCGGCGCGCATTACCGACACCACCCTTGAAAAACATAGTGTTTTTGCATTTCTCCATCTACGCCGCGTCGCACTT